TACAGGTGCCTCGCAGCTGGGCTCTGCATGGAATGAGTTATTTATTAAAACACTGGATACAGATTAACTTTTTCACTGGTTGTTTTGTGTGGTCTTGGTCCTCTACAGATGGGAAATGCTAATTTCCTTCTTATAAGCTTAGTTTGCAGGAACTTTTTGTGCCATTTCATCCCCTAGGGTTTCCAGTGGAAATCCTGCCTTTGCCATAACACACCTGTCCTGAGAGCATGGTTTCCTCTCTGGTTGGGCATTTGCTTTCATCCCAGAGCTCTCATGAGGCTACAACTGGACTGCTTCTGTAAGCACACACTGAGGGCAGGTCCCCGCCCTACCCCCAGCTGGGCACGGCAGGCTGAGGAAGTGCTGTGTAGGCCAGTGATGGCGAACCTGACACGCGTGTCGAGGTGACACGTGAACTCATTTTTTTGGTTGATTTTTCTTTGTTAAATGGCATTTAAATATATAAAATAAATATCAAAAATATAAATCTTTGTTTTACTATGGTGGCAAATATCAAAAAATTTCTATATGTGACACGGCACCAGAGTTAAGTTAGGGTTTTTCAAAATGCTGACACGCCGAGCTCAAAAGGTTCGCCATCACTAGTGTAGGCTCATTGGAGGGCAGGCCTCCCTGAAGCTTTGGTCCCACTGCCTTTCCCTCAGAGGTGTTTAGTTTCAGGATGACTGTTGGTGTGGCACGGTGACTGCTGTCTGCTAAGGGCAGGGAGTCGGGGCTGCCTGGAGAGAGCAGGGCACCCTTGGTTTTAGCCCAGGGTGGGAGTAGGGGCCAGCAGTGGGGCTAGACCTCTTTCTGAAGCTGAAACCACCACTCTGGGTCGGATTTCAGGCCTCAGATCTCTGACTTGAAATGTTGAGACTTTCTTTCCTTTGGTAATCACAGGAACACCTAAGACATTGTGGGGTCCCAGCAGATCTGTGCAGGTGTGTGGTTTCATCCTTTATCAAGCATTTCATTTGCAGCATAGATTAGCTCTTCCTCCATGGGGTAGTGATTCCAAATTGTCCCCTCAGCACTGAGGGGACAGTGGCAAGAGGTTCGTTGAGCTGGCCCAGTCAAACTCACTTTAAAAAGTCTGAGAGGACACCGTAGCCGGTTTGGCTCAGTGGATAGTGTCAGCCTGCGGACTGAAGGGTCCCGGGTTTGATTCCGGTCAAGGGCATATGTCCAGGTTGTTGGACTGTGCAGCACACCCCACCAGCAAAGCTATGTCAAGTTTCCAGTACGAGCAGAATGTTGGAGAAGATGATATGTTGGTGTTGGGGGACAATGAGAAGTCATATACCTAACTCCTGTCCCTGGAAACCCGAACATCTATTTGGTAAGAAATGGCAGTGGCTGGGAAAGAAGATAGTGTGGATTGGGGCTGGAAACAGCTTTTGGCTTTATCTGACTTCTGTGGCTTTGAAGCTGCTTCTCTTACTCTGTGATCTTCAGTGCTTCAAGAGACTTAAAAAATGTAATAATAGCAAACACAGTTTTTACTGTGTGCAAGCACTATTAGAATTTTATATGAACTCATTTTATCTTCACTATCTTTATGGGGTAGGGATTATTAATACTATTTTCCAAGGAAACTGAGGCACAAAGATGTTGAGGAACTTATATACTTAGCTAGTGAGTGCTGGAGCAGAGCTATAAACTCAGGAACTCCTGCTCTAGTAGTCCTCACCCTTCCCTTCCCCTTCCCCTTTTCCACTTCCCCTTCCCCTTCCCCTTCCCTTCGTTTGGAAGGTTGTCTGGAAGGACGTCCAGTCTGATTAGCATATTACACTTTTATTATTATAGATAGATTTTCATATCATTTTTAAAAAACATTTTTGTTTCTGTAATGGTTTTTTAAATTAGTAGACTTTATTTTTAGAGTAGTTTTAGGTTTACA